ACAACATGTGCATAATTTTCATTTGAGCTCTATTTAAACTCAAATGATTATCGTTATCGTTCTTAGCATGATCATCTTTGATATTATTATTATAATGAGCGCTCCAAATAAATAAAAGCTGAAATGGCTGAATAGATGTTTTTTCTCTTTACAGGGGTAATAAAATCAACATCAACTCCAGTTATAGCAGCAGCGTAAAAAATACATGCCTGCATACTGAGTCGTTCTCTAGATGAAAATCATCGAAATAGATTGCCAAAGCCATTCCTTTTGGTGTGTTAATATGATATACACAATACATATCTCGCGGATAGTTATTTGGATATCCAGGACTTTTCAGCGAATTATTACTCACGGAACCACAGCCTGGAAGAGGAAAACATAACGTACTGAGTAATGATAATAATAATAATAATAATAATAATAATAACAATGAGGACAGTAACAAATTTAATTCAAGTTTTGATGCACTTTTCATTAGCTATATGAGCCATTTGGGGACACTACGAAAAAAAAGATACATTTGTAAACAACTTAGTCTATACGTTATACTCAAAATAATAATAGAATTTACATCAATTTGCTTAGATATAAACCAATTAGAAAGTAAACTAGGTAAATTAATAAATAAATAAAACTTTCTAGGAAAAAGCCCATTCATAGAGCAAGGATAAAAAGAAAATGACGAAAGTCAAGTCGCTACAAACCGGTTAGCAATTACGATTTTACTTTGAATCTGGTTCATATATCAGTGATACCGAACATCTGGAAAGTAAAGATAAAAACTGGGAGCATCAACTTAAATTAAAGGAATATCAAAACTTAATATGTACAATTATGTCAATTATCTACCAATTGGTCCATCGAAATATTAAGCACGCAGGAGGTATGGAGAGCATGAAAGATGCTTAAGAGTCTATCAAACCGTCCCCAGCGCTTCATAACTCAATGAATGCACAGCTGACGTATGACCTAATTGTTTTATGATTTTGCCAACGGTGCAGTTTGGATGTTTTTCTTTAGCTCTAATGAATTAAAAACAGTGAAAGAAATCTATTTCTAAGATGAGGAAAAGAAAAAGAAATGATAGTTCTAGTCAAAATGTACATTGGAAAGAAAACTTTTGATGATAATCGATGAGTTTACTTAGTCATCAGATTTCCTTTAATTTAAGGAACATCTGTAGTAGATAAAGTAGCTGAAGTATTCGCAGGACCTGAAGAAAGTAAAGCATCTATAGCAACTGAAGTAGGTGAAGTATTTGTACGATCTAAAGTAGCTGGAGAATTCCTAGGATCTGAAATAGGTGTAAAGTAACGTATAAGACCAAGATACGCTAAAGCACAGTTAGGACACGTAGAAGATCATACGGCACCTCTGGCAGACCGGTTGCATTCGCATTTTTTAAGTTTTACAGTTAAACCTTTCATTGCCCAATACACATACCAATAAAGGAGAAGAGCAGAGAGAATCCTCTTTCCTGCACACTAAAGACCGAGGAGAATGTGATCACGGCAAAGGCTCCCGTTACATGAACTGTTGTTCCAGTCTCCTCTCCGCAGTATGTACCAAATGTGTCCCCATCTGAGTTGGCAATCTCCACATAGCCATACCTGTATCAAGAAAAGAAGGAAGCGGTCTCGAGTCCTTTTTAACGTTGATTTCGATCTCTTTTTGGCTCATTTCACTGTATATTTCTAGCAACAGTACATCTTGGCTAGTATGAGCTCGGACTTCCCCTTTCTGTTCCATCACTTTACTGTTCCTTTGCATCATTCTTGNCAGTCTCCTCTCCGCAGTATGTACCAACTGTGTCCCCATCTGAGTTAGCAATCTTCACATAGTCATAACTGTATCAAGAAAAAAAGGAAGCGGTCTCGTGTCCTTTTTAGCGTTGATTTCGATCTCTTTTTGGCTCATTTCACTGTATATTTCTAGCAACAGTACATCTTGGCTAGTATGAGCTCGGACTTCCCCTTTCTGTTCCATCACTTTACTGTTTCTTTGCATCATTCTTTAGCGTTAATCCAAACCTTTCTTGGTTCACCTCGCCGTGTACCTGTGCATAATTCTCATTTGAGCTATATTGAAACTCCAATAGTTATCGTTATCGTTCTTAGCATGATCATCTTTGATATTATTATAATGAGCGCTCCAAATAAGTAAAAGCTGAAATGGCTGAATAGATATTTTTTCTCTTTACAGGGGTAATAAAATCAACATCAACTCCAGTTATAGCAGCAGCGTAAAAGATACATGCCTGCATACTGAGTCGTCCTCTAGGTGAAAATCATCGAAATAGATTGCCAAAGCCATTCCGTTTGTTATGTTAATATGATGTACACAATACATATCTCGCGGATAGTTATTTGGATATCCAGGACTTTTTAGCGAATTATTACTCACGGAACCACAGCCTGGAAGAGGAAAACATAACGTACTGAGTAATAATAATAATAATAATAATAATAACAATGATAACAGTAACAAATTTAATTCAAGTTTTGATGCACTTTTAATTAGCTATATCAGCTAATTGGGGACACTACGAAAAAAAGAAACATTTGTAAAGTACTTAGTTTATACGTTATAGTCAAAATAATAATAGAATTTAAACCAATTTGCTTAGATATAAACCAATTAGAAAGTAAACTAAGTAAATCAATCAATAAATAAAACTTTCTAGGAAAAAGCCTATTGATAGAGCAAGGATAAAAAGAAAACTTCATATTTGGGTAAAGGTAAAGTTAAGCAACCATTGATCTGGTGCATAATTCCGGGAGTTAAGGGAAGTGTGGTGGCCTCATGGTTATTGCGCTAGACTCTGAATCTAGTGGCCTAGCCGAGGAAATGTGTTGTGCTCTTAAGCAAGACTCTTTACACTCACAGTGCCTCTCCTCAGTAATTAATTAAATCAATCAATAGAGATGTAACAAAACTGTATAGGAAAAGCCCATTGATACAGCAACGATAAAATTAAAAGAAAATGACAAAAGTGAAGTCGCTCCAAACCGATTACCAATTACGATTTTAACTTGAATCTGGTTCGTACATTAGTGATATCGAACATGAGGAAAGTAACTGAGAGCAACAACTTAAATTAAAGCAATATCAAAATTTAATAGGTAATTTATATCAATCATCTAACAATTAGTCCATCGAAATATGAAAAAAAGCTACCTATGGCTCAAAAACACCTTTTCTTCCGCTCTAACCCATCCCTGGTATTCTGACTGATAATTGTTCTTCAGCAGGAAACATTTCCTGGGAATTTTCCCCGAATACTCCATTCTCCAAAGTTGACTCTGCCGACTTCCTTTTCAAATTATCTCCGTTTACCAATCGATAAATGATTATGAACTTTACCGCTACTGGTTAAGCTTTGAATGACAGGATGGCATGTTGCTAATTTAACTATTTATCCGCCCTCCATTTAATGTATTTACTGAGTAGGTAAAACAGTTTTTGCATTTTGAGCAATATCTGAACCGAATTCTACCATCTGCTCGCCGCTTTAGAGTAACTTTCCTCCACTTTAAGCTTAAAGCTAAGGCAAGGGTCGCTGTTGTAAATTAACTACAATAATGTCCTTAATTTTTTTTCTTGCGGCTGCTTATCAATGCATGTAACTATTCGCACATATCTTTACAGGAGGTGGAAGATACATCCACATCAATGCGTCACATCCAGCAACACAAAATCAGTTCGCAGAGCTGCTAAGTCCTTTCATCTGGGGACCAAAATGTTTACACTTCTTTTATCACATGTATGGAATACACATAGGAAGACTTCATGTCTTCACGAGGGCCGCCGGACAACAGCAATATTACCTGATTTGGCAAAGGAAAGAAAACCAAGGAAATAAGTGGAGAAAGGCCGTTGTTGATATACCTTATGTGGGCGAGTTTCAGGTAAGATTTATCTCATGGATTCAATAGATTCTACTCTAGTGGAATGAGTTTCTCGACAGAAACTATTTCCTCTGCAACCTTACATTCCCAGCCTCCTCTACCCTTGACATCACTCGATGATCCTGGTAAGTTTATGACACCCATCCACAGAAACTAAGAAGAAAAAGCATCAACCAGAATTCGGCTGAGGTCAATCAACTTTTCGTATAATTTTGGCCAGGTTTATTCGTGACAGTCTAGTCAGGAAATTATAAGTTAGATGTCAGTGCTACAGCTTCAAACCGAAAACTAATCAGAAGAAAATCAAGAACGGTCGAAAGGGAAATAGATGGGCAAACTAAAGAAATTTACTCGAAATAATAAAATTTATATATCGTGCCAGCGTTTCCACGTTTCTTTCAATTGT